CCCAGCCCTTGCAGAAGCTTGTATCTCTGTCACACTCCCAGAGATGTCCCATCTCCTGGCTACAGGGGCCAGGGTTCCTTGGTCAAGCCCTTCTTTCCCTCATAAGCAACCCAGTCACCACATCCTGGGGCATCCCTGACAGGCTGACATCAGGAGAACGCCATTTTGAACCCCCTCCGAGACAGCAGGAGTTCTTACTCACATACATCCTCACATGGATGATGCTATCAGTCAAGCCAGGTGACAGCAAGAGTTTCCTCATTTGTAAAATAAAGACACAAGACTTTGCAACTGTGGAAAGAGGATTCCATTCATACGTGGAAAGCACTCAGAACAGTGCTTGACATTTAACAAATGCCTAGTAAGTCCAATATTACTATCACTACCCCATGAGGACTAGCAGGAAGTCAGTGTCCCTGGGTAAAAACCTCCCTGGAGTCCTCAGAAGGGGACTTTCCCCAGCTCTGCTGACATTAAAGCCAAGTTCTCCAATGTGGCAGCAGGTTTTAAGGGCATGACCTGGCTGACACACAGCGCTGGGGAGGTGGGTGCTGCCTGTGGTGTGGTGAAGGAGCAGGTACACTCTGGAAAGAGAGCCCAAGGTCCCAGCATTTGCAACAGCAGAGGGGAGGGGCCTATGCTGGTGACAGAGTGAAGAAGGAAAATACTTCCTGGATACTCTGTAATTCCTTGATAGCTAGCATCCCAGAACAATTTCGGGCCATGTGGAAGGCTGGGTGGATAGCCTCGGATGGTAGCATATGTCCGATATTGATGGGTGCACGAAGGAAGGAATGGCTAGAAAGGCCAGTTAGACAAATGCAGTGTTTTAGGGCCTCCTATGTGCCACGGTAGAGGCGTCCATGGTTCTCCCTGGAGAGGTCAGTGTCCCCTCAGTGCTGGGGCAATGGCTGGTGAATGGCTTTACCCCAGGTATCTACCACTGGTACCTGAGCCCTCAGCAGGACTGGCTACAGAATTTTCAGGGTCCCAGGCCAAAGGAAAGATGGGGGCCTCTTCTTCAGAAATTGTAAGAATTTCAAGACAGTGGCAGCCCATCATGAAGTCAAGCAGGGCCCTCTGAGTAGAGGCCCTCAGTGACTGCATATGGGTTTCTTGCCCACGTGGCCAGTCCCACTGAAAAGCTGTAAGACACCCCGGGTTTATAAGAAGTAATCAGCCCCACAATGGCCCCAGCAGGTTTCATTTTGCCAGGCTCCCGCCCATCTCTCCAAATGACTTCTCCATAAAGGCTGCCGCGGATCATCTTACCCTCCTTTCAGAATACAAAGACTGGAAATATCCCTGTCAGAAGGGCTCTAAATTCCACATTAAAAAGAGGCCTGCCTTCTGGACAGTCAACATCTGAAGGCGGCCACGTGAGTGGCAGACACTCTATCCGTGGAAACAGGCTCGCCTGGCATTTGGAAACCTAAGTGGGACCAGACCCTTGGTCGAGGAGCCCCAATTACCACAGAGCAAGTCTCCTGATTGAAACCAGCAGACTGAGGTTCCTGGATTTCACTGGATAAACACACCCAGTTCAGGCTGACTGCTTTCTGCTGACAGGGGTAAATGAGTCCATCTGAAATTACCTGCATCCACGCTCTTCCTGGCCTGGGCTCTCAGGGTCTGGGGTCTGGCTCTCCAAGGATTAAAGGCCTGTTTTGGGGAGACTCCAGAGACAATGGAAAGCTGTATTTGGGAGGCCAGGAAACTTTGAAGAGTACAGGCCCCAGACCTTCAGGAGGTGGAATGGAAACAATTAGAGTGATTCCAGGGATGTGTTCTGGTCTCATTCTCTGCTCTTCCCCCCCGCCCTCTCCCTTCCTCCTTTCTCCTGCATTCCTCCTCCCTCCCACTGGTCACAGCTCACCCACTACCCTTGGCAGGGAGGGAAGGGCACCTTCTGACCTGCATGGCCCGGAGGCTATTTTCCCTGTGATCAGCCTAGTCCTTAGTTCACAAGGCTCCTCAAATCCAACTTCCCTTTCCCTACTAGGCATGACAGGAGCTGCTGCCTTCGATGGCCACTGCTGACAAAACTTCACATCCTCTGAGGCTGGCCAGGTGGCGAGAAGGGACAGGGTGGCTTAGGATACTTTCTCTCGGGCCAGCTTACACAGCACTTTCTAACGGATCAGCATCAAACTGCTAATCAGATGTTTGTGATTAAAGTTTTAGGGGGAGAAAAAAATGTTTTGCTTTCAAACCCAACATTTGACCTGACAAGAACCAACTTTGGGACCAAGTGGTCAGCCTTATTAGACTAGCGCTACACACCAGATGTTCTCGGCTTCACCCACACGGCAGCAAGGAGACCTAAACTTCCTTGAAGACAGCAGGGCACCCGACCAGCACTGTGTTTTGTGGTCGAGTCCCACACTCTGGCCAACACAGTAGCACTTGTCACAAGGGTATTTGGAAAAGTTACATACTGCTCCCTTTTAGCTTTCTTCCCCGCAAACCATCAGCAGATAAACAAGAACTTCTCAAGGCAGGGAAGCTTTTGCCTTCTTAAAAAAAAAAAAAATTCACTTAAAACTCCACTTCAGGTCTGGCCCAGCTGAGAGTCTGAGCCTTCTGCTCCTCTGGGAGGCAAAAGACACTCACAGGATCATGGCCTGCAGTCTACTACCCCCATCCACTACCCCCAAACCCACAGGCTTAAGTCAGTGATCAAGTGCAAACGTGTTTGCCACAGATATTTTGTCATCGACCCCCTGGGCTGAGCTGTGAAAACAGCACCATCACATTGTTCTATGGTGCTGCTAAAGCCCAATTTTATCTTTGTAGTCCCAGGATATATATTTTAAAAAATACAGTGTCCTTGAATATGATAAGACTGCAACAATAAAAACTGTTCATAAACAGTTGCCAAGAAAAAATGAAGCTCAGCTGTGCCTGTCCTAAATGACTACATTCCAAGTACACAAAGGACCTATGTGTGCCCAAGGCATTTGTGTCACCAAAGATGACAGTATGTGGGAAGTTCATGATACAGTTTTTACCCTCTTCACGTTGGGAAGCCCAGAAAAGCACATAGGAAAGAATGTAAAGATCTGGCGAGACACTCAGGCCCCGCTGATCTGGACTTCAAAGTTCCTGCGTATGTATGGGGCCCAGAGGGTTGTTTGATCTTCCCCTGCCCCCAGCAGGCAACTACAGAACCATCAGAGCTAGAACAATTTCAATCAGCAGTCAAGTAGAGCCGCTGGCACTTCACCACGTTGACCTCCAGGAGTTTAATGAAAACAGGGTCTCTCTGAGTGGGTTCACTCTGTCACCCATGCCATCTGTTTAGAGTTGGCAGATGAGGCCTGGCTTAGGCAATCCTTGTCCTCTGCTGCCACTGCCCTCTGTTCAGATCCTCGTCAGGGTCGTCAGCACAGTGTCTACAGGCTTGGCTATGCTGGCATCTGCACCTGCAGGAAGGCGCTGGGCCCACGGCCTGTTCAGGGAGGAGGCAGAGGCTGGCAGGACAGATGCAGATGACTGATGCTAAGGGAAGCCACTTGCTGTGATTTACATGTGGTTCCCACGTTTCACGTGTTGGAAACAATGTCTCCCATGCAGCAGTGTTAAGAGGTGGGGCAGAGGGCACAGATCTTATGAATGGATTCGTACACTTATGGATTAGTGAGTTACGCTGAAGTGACTTGGTCACAAGAGCGAGCTCTCCCTGGCACCCTTGCTCTGTCTCACCTCATGATGCCCCCTGCCATGTTATAAGGTAGCAAGAAGGCCCTCGACAGAGGCTGAGTGGCCAGCTCTTGGATATCCCAGTCTCTAGAGCCAGAAGCCAAGTAAAACTCTATCATTTATATGTTACCCACTCTAACAGTCACAGATTAAGATACCACTGGCCAATAAGAATAAGAATCATTCATTTTAAAGGCAGTCCAGAGACCCCCTAGAAAGATTAAGCCCCAGTACTTTGCCAAGGAGGAAATGTGGGCTCTAAAGAGTCAAAGAACTAGCATAAGGTCACTCAGTCAGCTGGTGGCACAGCTAGGAAATGACTTGGAATCTCAGCTACTAAATACACAACAGCACAGTCATCAAAATTCCAGTGTAGATTTCTGGGCAGTCCCAAAGAAGGTGGTTTTACTAGATTGTGAGTCATCCAGTAAGTACAGAGTCTGAAGGCTCAGGGGATTATTTTCCATTCAGAATCAGTTGGCGAGTCAGAACTCACTATCTGGAGTTGGTATGTGACCCATAATGTGATAAGGAGCCCACTTGTTTTTCACAGAACTTCCTTAAGCAGTTTACCGTCATCCAAGGTAAGGCATAAACTTCACTGTTTAGAGAAGCAAGGTGTTTTGATGGGGAAGTTCCAAGAAGTATTATCTCAGGGATAAGGACGGAAGCTTGCCTATGTTTCAAAGGAATTGCCCTAGTTATTAGCCTAAGTCAGCAGTATTGCCAAAGGCACCTCTTTCCAGCCTCAAATCCTGAAGACAGAGACAGCACTGTCTTAAAGGCTCCTACGGCTGAGGGTGATGTCTCCTGGCCCAAGAGGGTAACAGAAGCACACAGGACCTGGGGTAGAGCAATGAACGCATGGTAATGCTCCACTGCCTGGATCTGACAAACAGGAAGTCTTGGTTTAAACCTTCTTCCTCCCAATCCCACTTACTCTACACATCACTACCTGGTCAGGTGGAGAAGGTCACAAGTCCTCAGCAGAGGTCATTTGGGCTTTATTTTCTGGCCCAGTCACAGAGGGGCAGGTCTAACCAGTTGGCTAGTGTTTATGCAGCAGGGGAGGAAACCTAGGATCAGGATAGTCCAAAACAAGGATGAGCTGGGGCAAGGAGGGATGGGCCAGCAACACACCAGGCAGTTATAGTACCATCACCTTTGCAGGGCAGCTCTCAAGGTGAGCTCTGGAGTCTGGGTGTGAATCTCTCCCCCTTCTCTCCACTTTGTGGTAACTTATTTCATCTCTCCCAGTTTCGGTTTCATTATCTGGAGAATGAGACACTGCCATTTGTTAGCAAATGTATTAAAGTGAACTAAAAGTATAAAGCATTTAGCCCAGTACCTGGAATATATTAGTCCCCTAATATAAGTTACCTACTTTTACGTTCATTCTTATTTCATAGCTCAATCCCTGAGAATTTTAATAACAGAGCTGGACATGATTTATACCTGTCTCACTCAAATACATGCATGGGTGACCCAAACGGGAATTTAGTTCTGGCTTTGGAAAGCACCAAGGCTTTTATTGAAGGAAGGAACATTTTCTTTAAGGACTTGGGCTAACATCTGAATAGTTTGCATTTTCTGGGTAATTGGTGTCAGAAGGCAGGGCCCTAGAAATGTCCTCAGTGGCCAATATATCATCCAACTGATGATGAAGACGTGTCCCTAGGTGATCCAGGAACATCATGAGTCATTGCAACCCCTTTCCTCACCAGTGTACAGAGAATTATGACAAGTCACTTGAGCGGACATGTCTCATTGTAGCAGAATATTTTCTCCAAAGCAAAGCAGACCATGGAAGACCAACGGGCCACTGGGGGATGGGTTGAGCTCCTCTTCTGTTCTCTCACTTGGAAGTCAGGGCAGTGGAGAGGCACTGTGTGTCACATTAGGCTTTGCTGACCGCTCCAGTCACACCGCACTAACCATGTCCCTTGGGCAAGGCCAGCTTGCTTTGCTCTCTTCTGAGAACACTGTACTTCTGTTAGCCAGCAGCATGCGGGCTCAGCTGTCTCCCCAGCACCACCCGCCTCTTTCTTTCAGCCATGCGCCAAGATCTTCACCAAGTTACCTGGGGTTAAGTCTTTGCAAGAAGAGAGGACTGCTTCATATTTCCCATTCCATGGAAGTCAAATCTTCCCGAATGTTTCTAGACAATTCACAGCCAGAGTTCAATAGGAAAAGAAGAAACATTAACCAATTTGAAAAACGAACACAGTGATTTAAAGCAGGAGGACAAGGATAAGAGTTTGAAGGCTGCTTCTTCTTTCTGTCTCAAACAAAATAAAAATCTAGTAGGGATAATAGTGTTTTACCCAGAAAGATGCCAGTGAACTCTATGTATGCATCACTGGGATGCATCTGGATGTAAGACCAACAAAAATAGTGGCATAAACAGTAAGGGGTATTATTATTTACTATAACAAGAAGTCCTGGGTTGAGTGGTTTGGGGTTTGGTTAGTTCTGTGACTCAGCATTATCATTAAGGACCCAAGTTATTTCTTTTTCCACCCTTGGTCTGTGTGGGGATGTTAGATTTTGTCTGATTTTCCTTGCGCAGTCATTAGATGGCTGATGTTATAGCTCCAAACATCACATTCCCATGTAAACTTGAGTCGTCCTTTTAAGAGAGGAAAAGCCTTTCCAGAAGCCCCTCCTGCAAGCGTCCCTCAGGGCTAGATGGCTTGACTGATTGACAGGCCCATCCCTAAACTAATCACCTTCAAAGGTACTAGAGTTCTGACCACTGTCAGGAGAGCTGCGCTTCCCCTTGGTCAGTAGGGACAGCCCAGACTCATACACGCATTGCCCTGACCCCTAATTAGATCATGCTGAATTGGCAATGCTGAAGGGTGGAGAGAGCTGAATGTCCATTTTGGGAAGCAACTCAGTACTACCTACAGTTCTGCACAGCCCTCTGGGGTCCTAAAGATCTCAACTACTTATCTATAGAGAAAGGCATGCTAAAATGATCCATGTACTGCAGGTCTGCTGTTCATGAAAATGCATGTGAACTAAGGATCAGATGCAACGTGTGGACTTGGTTTGGAATCCAATTCAAACTGACCGACTTACTATTGAGGCAAGCAAGTAACTGTGAATATGGACTAAGTACAGTACCAGGTTATATTAAGGAACTTCTATGACAATGGCACTGTGAAAATGAAAGTAAGAAGTTACATTAACATGCAAGCAAATGCTTATTTTCAATAGTTAGGGATACGTTTTTCAATGTTTAAAACTTTCAATATTTGGGAATTTCAGTATTTAGGGATAAAATGATGACTAGGAGCTGCTTTCATCTACTTCAGCCAGAAAAGGGAGACACAGATGAAACAAGTGTGGAGGAGGAGGCGACTGAGTTTGCGCAATGGACATACAGTGGCCAATATATAGCTCTCTATATCTTCTTCTTAACGCTTTCAAATTTGTCATAATAAAAATTTTAAAAGCATTTAGCAAGTAAAGCATGGTGTCTCTGGCCCACTTGTGAGTGCTTATGTCCCTTAAGGCTACTCCTCCTGAAGGCCTTTGTACTTCTCTGCTCCCCTTTCTGGATTTTTCTCCCAGATCTTTGGATTATCGGCTCCTCACATTCAGGCCTCTGTGCCTTATAGGGGTTTTCCTCACCCTGAAGTCCTTCTTTCTTCTTAGTCTGCTTTTTGTTTTTACTCAATACTTTTTGTTGTTGTTTTTTTTTTTTGGTACCGGGGATAGAACTCAGGACCTTGAGCTTACAAGGCAAGTGGTGAGCTAAATCCCTGGCCCTCGATACTCTTATTACTGTCTGAAGTTATCCTATCTATTTACTAGTTACTATTTCTCCCCTGTAAACAATCTTCCTGAGAAATGTGTCCTAGTATATCTTGCACAATCTTTCTTTTCTAAATACTTCAGTATCAGGCATTTAAAAAGGAACTCAAATGTTTGTTTAAATAAGCTGAATTTTCTTTCTTCTTAAAAGCTCTTACCAACACTAAGCAGAGCACCACTTAATGAACACTTTACATATACTGCATTCTAATTTAATCCTAACGATCCCGTGAAGGCAAGTATTATTATTATTGCACTATAATTAAAACCCAAGGCTTATTTTAACCTTTATGCTGGTGATAAATACCTGATAAACATGCTTCCAGTCCCTATACCTAGGCCCACGACAGGCATGACCAATGGATCTCGGAATTCTTTCTTCTGACTCTGGATTCAACACAGCACTCTGGAAAGTTATTATTTAAGTAGGGTTAGTCCATGGGGTGATACCTACCTTCCATTCTTACACTAGGTCACACTACTAAAAGCAGGTGCCAGTTTGACTGAGTTATCCCTTCGATAGCTCTTCCTAAGCTCTATTTCTGCCTCTTCAGGAAATGCAAAACCTAATGCTACAAATAAACCTCAGCCTTGGAAAGCAATATTCCAGACCACTGGATCAGCCTCTAGGAGGTTATTAAATAGCACAGCCCAGCTGCCAGAGCTTTCTGAGGCTGGGCATGCAAGGAGGGGCTCCCTGGTGGGGGCCACTGGCTGTCTCTGCTTGGTTACAGATCAGAATTTCCAGCTCTGCTACTCTTCAGCTTCCCACACCCTTCAGCCAAGAACACACAAGAGGCATAAAGACACCAAGGTAGAGGTCAGGGGCACCCACCAGGCCACTTCCTCTCCTTCCCACTTCAGCTGTCACGTCTGGAAAGTGCTCACACAGGACACATTCAGGGTCCCTTGCACTCCTAACCTCAGATTCAAGGTCCACTTTCAGAGTTGTGGGATTATGTGCATAGTCTCTGGCCCAGAGAAGTTCTCCTATAAATGTTTACAGGAGTGCATGAAGGAGAACTGGTTTGGGAAAGAAAGAGCCTCATAAATAGATGATCAGTGGCTCCTGGCACAGGAAAGGTTGGATATAGTGGAGAGTACAAGCTCCCCTAGGAGTTCACCACACTTTCCAGTGTGTTTGCCCCCCATGGAGACCCTCTGCTAACACAGGGGTGAAATCAATGGGTCCAAGTTCTGCTGCTTTCTGGCTGGGCAATCCTGGGCAAGTTAACCTTTCTGTGCCCTTGTTTTCTCCCTTGGAAGGTGTAGATAATTATAGTGTCTGTATAATAGAACTGTTGGAATAATAACATAATGCCTATAAAGAATTCAGAGTAATACATAGCATGAAGTAAGTGCTCAGTTACGCGAGCTACTGCTATTACTACTCATATTGTTATTATTGGTTTATGAATTATACAACATAGGAGGGATGGTATTCTGCTGTTTGGTAAGATGTTGGATAAATCTGTACTAAATTAGTGCATGAGGTAAAGCCAGCCTCCCTTCTAGGCTTTCCTCCTCTCTCTGCATTCTGATTGGTAGGTTAGCAAAGTCTCCTCAAAGCTAGACTTGATACAGAGGGTAAAGAGACCCAGTAAGCGATGAGCTTTATATATATTCCACTTAAAATCGGAAAGAAAAAATTGACTCCAAGTTCACTGTGGATACGTTTCTTCATCCTTAGGCACCTTTTTCATCTTTACAGTGCCTATCTGGAAAAAAACAACCTCACAAAGAGATATGCCTAAAACACACAATAGATAAATTTCAATGGAACACAAAAATATTCAAATCATCTAAAAGCAAAGAAGGGGAAAGAGAAGAGCAAAACAGAGAACAAATAATAAAATAGTAGAACCTAGATCCAAGAATTACATTAAATGTCAGTAGTCTAAATATACCAGTTGAGACACAGATTTCACATACAGATCAACAACGAAATGCAACTATGTGCTGTTTACAAGAAACTCCCTTGAAATATAACGTAGGCTAGTTAAAAATCAAATGCATGGAAAATTATGCAAACATGTATCAAAAGAAAGCTGGGGTGGCAATAATTAATAACAGGTAAAGTGGACTTCACAGCAAAGAAAATTACAAGGCATCAAGAGGACATTACAATGTCGCTTTTATATAAAATATAAGGCATCCGAGAAGACATTTCCAGTAGGATGGGCTAAAGCAATTTGGTAAGATTCTTTGCTTTCCACAGCTCCAGCTGCTTGAGGACTAGGGAGCTGGAAAGACACTACCTGGCTTTCCCTCCCAGGCCTCAGGCACATTATGTTTTCTTTATTCTCCCAATCCCTTTCCAATCTCAATTAGCTTTTGAAGGATGAACTGCAGAGGGCCAGGAGTCAGACACCTTTTTGAAAAAGCCATTCTCACCCCAGGATCATATATGTACTCATCGTGGGGGGTGAATTATCAACTCTAGAGCATCATGCTGTATGTGGGATGCTACATCCATGCTGTTAAGTCTCTGACGGAAAATTCCCTCACTTTTACTTCCCTTTCAGCCAGATAGATTTCTTCCCAGAGAAATTATGTAGGAAAAAACTTTTAAAAAACCAAATGTTTTTGCCCAGGAGAAAGAGTCGTTGATTGTTTTCTGCCTCTCTCGTCTTGGCAGGATCTGGTGTAGCCAAGACCCCGCAGCCACGTGTGCAGGGTTAGCGTGTATCCTGGCTGCTGTCTCGCTGCCCAGACCTGGCTCCTCAGTCTGTTTAACACCTCCAACCCCATGCTGCCTGCACTCTCGAATGTGTCATCTAGTGCAGTGTGTGAAAACACTGAGATTAAGGTGGCCTCAGCAGCCCTGGGGAACTTTAAGTCTATCCAGTTTCAGAACAAAGATTCAGTTTGTGCTTGGCCTGCTCCTGGTGTCCAGGTTGCAGACAGACCGGACCCACAGTGAGAGTCAGAAGTCAGACAGATGGAAGGATCATGTGGGTCAGAAAGGCTGGCAGGGGGCCCAGCTAGGATCCTCCTTCTGGAAAGGCATTGGGCCCAGCAGTCAGGCAATCTTCTTTCTTCCCACCAGTTTGGAGAGTGATGAAATCTGCTATCAGGGGAGAACTTGCTTTTCTGACTGTGAGAAATCCTGCAACGACAGACTCCATCCACGGCATTGCAGTGAGGGCCACGGGCTGTGCAGCTGCAGGAAGCTCAGTGTGCAGTTGGCTGGGATACTCACTTGGCGACCTGGGGCAGGTTGCTTAGCCTTTTCAAGCCTGTTACTTCCTCTGAGAAATGAGAATATCAGTAGCTGCCCCCTCCCACTGGAGTGGAGGATTGAACGAGACACCGTATGCAAAGTCCATAGCACTGTGCCTGCACACAGAAACTGCCGGATAAACAGTTTCTGTTGTTAGTGCAATTGGATCAATCATTCCTCCAGAGCAGAAACCACTCCTTTGTGTCCTCCACGATGTCTACAGCGATGCCAGCCACAGGACAGGCATTCATGGAGCCCTTGTTGGCTCAACATTCACACTGTCTGGATCTACTTAACTGTAGGTACTTCAAAAGGAACATTTAATAACACCCCTCCTTGACTGGTGGGGTTCTCAAATGGAAAGCAAATTAGCCATTTAGCCATCCACGATCCTGAAAACATACAGTCCCTAAGATTGTCAGACCTTCCGCTCCCATCTGCAGCTGATTAAAAACAAGGATCTGTGAGATGAACTTTTCTGTGTTTGACAACAGGCAGCTTGACCAAACAGTCTCACTAAAGCATGTCAAGCACAGCAAGGTGGCTTTGGAGACTGGAAGAGAAGAGAAGTGGTATTTTCATTCAACAGGCATAACTTAAGATACCATTAAGTCAGAATTAAACTATCTTTGAGCTAGTCAGGACATAAATGGCTCTTTCCTGTAATCCTGCAATCTGAATATTTAAGAGGTATGCTGAAGAAGTGCTTTTCCTCGACAGAGGAGAAGTTCCATTAGGACAGATACATACTGAAGTCAGTGAACATAACAATAAAAATTACTCTGACAGCAGCGGCACAGAAACAACGGTGTGCTGAAACTTCAAAGAAGTCCCTTGCCCAGTCAAACATGGCATGTGTTTCTCTGAGATCTACTTTTCCATTCTGCTTTTCCCTCTGGATGTCATAGCATCTCATCTCCACAGCATCCATCTTTCCCTCTTCTATTCACAGCCCGTCTATGGTTCTCAGAACATGAGGTCACCAAGTCTCCTCCCAGCATGTGGGGAGCATGTGGCCCCAGACCAGTGATGGCGAACCTTTTAGAGCTTTCAATGATACAAACAGCCCACTGCAGCATGTGTGCCATAGGTTCACCACCACTGCCCTATAGTAATTGGCTCAATGATGGACACGTGATCTAAGCCGGGCCAGTCAGAGCCACTGAGACTCAAATTCAGGGAAGCCAACTTACCTCCTTTTCTAGATTAGGCTTCAAAGCTAAGGTTGCTGCAGCCGGTTTCACAACCATGGGGAGAAAGGCTACCCAGACTGAGCCAGCACAGGGGCAAAATCCAGAGGAGAAAGCAAGCAAGGGAAACAAAGATCTCCAAGACACCAATGAACCTCTGAATCAGAGCACGCCTGAAGCCAACCCTACTTCAGGACTTTGAAATAAGGCAGTAAATTTCCTTTGCCTAAATTGGTTTGAATGGTGTCTGCAATCTGTAAAGAATCCTGACACATAAATTTTAAACAGAAGTGCACTTAAAAGTGGCAACTTTATGGCTTCCCAGCTTCAGTCAAATGACTTGGAATATAAAAATGAATGATGCACTGATTTCTCCAGGCTCCTGCCCATCTGTCTTGAAGGATGAGTACAGGCAGGACTGACCACTTCTGACCAACTGGTGTCTGCCTGGGAATGGCAGGACCTGACTTAGGGACGGCTGTTCAGGTGAACAGGTTCTGGGTAAGGACACAACACTGGCTCCTGTTGGGACATTCTTTGGTCGTGGGCCTCAAATAAACCCTCCTGTGCCTCATTTTCTTCTCTAGAACAATGAGGCCTTCTACTCTAAGGGAGAACAAGAGGCAGCATGGTATGGTATTTAGGAAGGTTGAGCTAGGCATTTAGGAAGTCAGCTAGAGCTGGTTCCAGATCTCTAGTCCACTTTCAACTAGCTCCGTGATGTTGGGTAAGATGCTTAATCTTTGGGCCCCAGTATCCTGGTCTGCAAAATGAGAATGAATCAGTATTATCACCTTGGGTTACTTCAAGGATCAAAGAAGGTAAAGCCTGTAAAGTGTTTAGCCAATGTACCTGATATACGAGGTGTGATCAAAATATACTGTGGATGTTTAAATTTTAAAAAATTTATTACAGTAAAAGACCATAGTGCCATGAATCCCCCTCTTAGTACTCCCCTCTTTGCTTTGAACACACTTATCCCATCATTCTTGC